GTACAGTCTCGTATAGATGTTGTACAGTCTCGTATAGATGTTGTACAGTCTCGTATAGATGATGCTGTACAGTCTCGTATAGATGTTGTACAGTCTCGTATAGATGATGCTGTACAGTCTCGTATAGATGTTGTACAGTCTCGTATAGATGTTGTACAGTCTCGTATAGATGATGCTGTACAGTCTCGTATAGATGTTGTACAGTCTCGTATAGATGATGATGTACAGTCTCGTATAGATGTTGTACAGTCTCGTATAGATGTTGTACAGTCTCGTATAGATGATGTTGTACAGTCTCGTATAGATGTTGTACAGTCTCGTATAGATGATGTTGTACAGTCTCGTATAGATGTTGTACAGTCTCGTATAGATGTTGTACAGTCTCGTATAGATGTGCAGTCTCGTATAGATGATACTGCACCGTCTCGTATGGATGATACTGCACCGTCTCGTATGGATGATACTGCACCGTCTCGTATGGATGATACTGCACCGTCTCGTATAGGTGATACTGCACCGTCTCGTATAGATGATACTGCACCGTCTCGTATAGATGATACTGCACAGTCTCGTATAGATGATACTGCACCGTCTCGTATGGATGATACTGCACCGTCTCGTATAGATGATACTGCACCGTCTCGTATGGATGATACTGCACAGTCTCGTATAGGTGATACTGCACAGTCTAGTATAGATGATACTGTACACTGTACAGTCTCGTATAGATACTGTACACTGTACAGTCTAATTTAGATGATACTGTACACTGTACAGTCTCGTATAGATACTGTACACTGTACAGTCTAATTTAGATGATACTGTACACTGTACAGTCTAATTTAGATGATACTGTACACTGTACAGTCTAATTTAGATGATACTGTACACTGTACAGTCTAATTTAGATGATACTGTACACTGTACAGTCTAATTTAGATGATACTGTACACTGTACAGTCTCGTATAGATACTGTACACTGTACAGTCTAATTTAGATGATACTGTACACTGTACAGTCTAATTTAGATGATACTGTACACTGTACAGTCTAATTTAGATGATACTGTACACTGTACAGTCTAATTTAGATGATACTGTACACTGTACAGTCTAATTTAGATGATACTGTACAGTTTACCTGGACAGTTCCGGGGGTCAACGCCCCCGCGGCCCAGTCTGTGACCAGGCCTCGTGGTGGATCAGAGCCTGATCAACCAGGCTATTACTGCTGGCTGCACGCAATCCAACGTACGAGCCACAGCCCGGCTGGTCAGGAACCGACTTTAGGTGCTTGTCCAGTGCCAGCTTGAAGACTGCCAGGGGTCTGTTGGTAATCCCCCTTATGTATGCTGGGAGGCAGTTGAACCGTCTCGGGCCCCTGACACTTATTGTATTGTCTCTTAATGTGCTAGTGACATTCCTGCTTTTCATTGGGGGGATGTTGCATCGTCTGCCGAGTCTTTTGCTTTCGTGGTGAGTGATTTTCGTGTGCAAGTTCAGTACTAGTCCCTCTAGGATTTTCCAGGTGTATATAATCATGTATCTCTCCCGCCTGCGTTCCAGGGAGTACAGGTTCAGGAACTTCAAGCTCTCCCAGTAATTGAAGTGTTTTATCTCCGTTATGCGCGCCGTGAAGATTCTCTGTACATTTTCTAGGTCAGCAATTTCACCTGCCTTGAAAGGTGCTGTTAGTGTGCAGCAATATTCCAGCCTAGATAGAACAAGCGACCTGAAGAGGGTCATCATGGGCTTGGCATCCCTAGTTTTGAAGGTTCTCATTATTCATCCTGTCATTTTTATAGCAGATGCGATTGATACAATGTTATGGTCCTTGAAGGCGAGATCCTCCGACATGATCACTCCCAGGTCTTTGACGTTGGTTTTTCCCTCTGATGAAGTTTTAATTTCCTTGTGTTTACCATATCGGAGTAATTGAAAATTTCTCATCGTTGAACTTCATATTGCTTTCTGCAGCCCATTGAAAGATTTGGTTGATGTCCGCCTAGGGCCTTGCATTGTCTGCAATGGAAGACACTGTCATGCAGATTCGGGTGTCATCTGCAAAGGAAGACACTGTGCTGTGGCTGACATCCTTGTCTATGTCAGATATAAGGATGAGAAACAAGATGGGAGCGAGTACTGTGCATTGTGGAACAGAGCTTTTCACCGTAGCCACCTCAGACTTTACTCTGTTGACTACTACACTTTGTGTTCTGTTTGTGAAGAAATTATAGACCCATCGACCGAATTTTCCTGTTATTCCTTTAGCACGCATTTTGTGCGCTATTACGCCATGGTCACACTTGCCAAAAGCTTTTGCAAAGTCTGTATATATCACATCTGCATTCTTTTTGTCTTTTAGCGCATCTAGGATCTTGTAGTGATCCAGTAGCTGAGACAGACAGGAGCAACCTGCTCTAAACCCGTGTTGCCCTGGGTTGTGTAATTGATGGGTATCTAGATGGGTGGCGATCTTGCTTCTTAGGACACTTTTATGATATGGGATGTTAGTGCTATCGGTGGAGTGGGGCTATGTCTGTTGTTTTTAGTAACTGTGGGACGACCCCCGTGTCCATGCTCCCTCTCCATAGGATGGTAAAAGCTCGTGATAAGGGCTTCTTGCAGTTCTTGATGAACACGGAGTTCCATGAGTCTGGCCCTGGGGCAGAGTGCATGGGCATGTCATTTATCACATGCTCAAAGTCATTTGGCGTCAGGATAACATCAGATAGGCTTATTTATTTTATTATCACACTGGCCGATTCCCACCAAGGCAGGGTGGCCCGAAAAAGAAAAACTTTCACCATCATTCACTCCATCACTGTCTTGCCAGAAGGGTGCTTTACACTACAGCTTTTTAAACTGCAACATTAACACCCCAAATTCTGTACCAAATTCTGTGGCTCTCATAAAAAATTCATTTTGATCTACGACTCTGTCTGGTTAGCGGCTTGCTAAAAACTGAGTCATACTGGGACTTGAGTAATTCACTCATTTCCTTGCTGCCATCTGTGTAGGACCCATCTTGTTTAAGTAGGGGCCCAATACTGGATGTTGTTCTCGACTTTGATTCGGCATAAGAAAAGATATACTTTGGGTTTCTTTCGATTTCACATATGGCTTTTAGTTCTTCCCGCGATTCCTGACTCCTATAAGATTCCTTTAGCTTAAGTTCGATGTTTGCTATTTCTCTGACCAGTGACTCCCTACGCATTTCAGATATGTTGGCCTCTTTTAGCCGCTCTGTTATTATTTTCCGTAGCCTGTGAAGGGAGCGCCTGTCTTTCTATTTTACATGTACTCCTCCTTTTTCTTAAAGGAATAAGCCTTGAGCATACATCGAGTGCCACCGAGTTCATCTGTTCTAGGCATAAGTTGGGGGTCTGTGTTGCTTAGTCTATCTTCCCAGCTTATATCGTTTAGGACTTAGGTGGTAGTGGGGGGACTTCTTTTCCGGCACTAGTATCTGTATCTGTTGGTTTGGAGTGGAGGCCATCGACTGTGGTTCCACTCCAGAAATGACTGGATTTGGCGCACGATTTCTGCCATTTCCTGCCAGTTTTTTTTTCCTTCCTGGCACTAAAAAACCTCTCGAGTGGCTGTGGCTACCCAGGTTTTTCCATGGCCTGGATGTTTTGTATCTTTTTGTCCCCTTTAGATGATTTGCCTGGCAATTTAAGTTATATCAGTCTTTCCTGTACTGAAGAGGGACACATTTCAGGGTGAAAAAGGTTACAGGAAGTGAGTTTGCATTTTCCTGTTGTCATATCTGTAGGCATACTATCGAAGGTACGGTACTATGTTCCACAGTCAGCGCTCCTGGCCCTATATCACTCACTTATTTACCCCTATCTCACCTATGGAATTTGTGCATGGGGCTCAACAACAATAAACCATCTCAGACCATTAATTACCCAACTAAAGGCTGCAGTCAGAATAACAAATTCCCATTACAGGCAGCACACTCCACCAATATTCAAAACACTCAACCTACTCACCATACAAAACATCCATACTTATTACTGCACCTATTACATACATAGAACACTTAACTCTGACATAAACCCTCCCCTCAAACATCTCCTTACCAACCTCAACAGAACACATGACCATAACACAAGACACAGATCACTCTTTGATGTTCCTCGTGTCCATCTCACACAATGCAAAAACTCAATGCACATAAAAGGCCCTAAAATTTGGAATTCATTACCTGTATATATAAAAGAAATACTGTCTGTTTATAAATTCAAGTCTCTTCTCAAAAATCACTCACTCACCCACAACTAAATAAATACTGAATAATTGTATCTCATAAATTGTATCTCATACATGTCTCATTATTGTATCTCATAAATGTCAACCTGTGACCCAATCAAACTTTGTTACTATTTAACTTCATTACCTAACATAATACTCCATTCTACTGATTACACAGCAACACAGTAAATGACCATATGACCTGTCTTTGTAATACTCATTTGTACTAAATTGTTACGTGTTTTACAATAATTTTTGTACCACTGAATATATGATTGCTTAGTTAATCTTAAGTTAATTTTAAGAGTGCCCATAATGCTCTGCATACAAGGGGCTTTGGCATGCTGCACTTTAAAAATTGTATTCCTTGTACTTCTCTGTATCATGTTCAAATTAATTAATATGGGCATGGCATTTTCTAGGGTGGTCAAAGTTGCACGTCCCATCTGTTTTTCCAGATTTCCCATAATATAGACGATACTGTACAGTCTAATATAGATTGTACTGTACAGTCTAATATAGACGATACTGTACAGTCTAATATAGATTGTACTGTACAGTCTAATATAGATGTCACTGTACAGTCTAATATAGACGATACTGTACAGTCTAATATAGATTGTACTGTACAGTTTAATATAGATGTCACTGGACAGTCTAATATAGATGTCACTGTACAGTCTAATATAGATGTCACTGTACAGTCAATATAAATCTGACTAATAATACTTTCCTTGCAGGTGACCATGAAATTGTTGATACTGTTGAGTGTGGCGGCTCTGTGCTCATCCACGGTGAGTCAGTGTTGAGTGTGGCGGCTCTGTGCTCATCCACGGTGAGTCAGTGTTGAGTGTGGCGGCTCTGTGCTCATCCACGGTGAGTCAGTGTTGAGTGTGGCGGCTCTGTGCTCATCCACGGTGAGTCAGTGTTGAGTGTGGCGGCTCTGTGCTCTCCACGGTGAGTCAGTGTGAGTGTGGCGCTCTGTGCTCATCCACGGTGAGTCAGTGTTGAGTGTGGCGGCTCTGTGCTCATCCACGGTGAGTCAGTGTTGAGTGTGGCGGCTCTGTGCTCATCCACGGTGAGTCAGTGTTGAGTGTGGCGGCTCTGTGCTCATCCACGGTGAGTCAGTGTTGAGTGTGGCGGCTCTGTGCTCATCCACGGTGAGTCAGTGTTGAGTGTGGCGCTCTGTGCTCATCCACGGTGAGTCAGTGTTGAGTGTGGCGGCTCTATGCTCATCCACGGTGAGTCAGTGTTGAGTGTGGTTGCTCTGGGCTCATCCATGGTGAGTCAGTGTTGAGTGTGGCGGCTCTGTGCTCATCCACGGTGAGTCAGTTTACCTGGAGAGAGTTTCGGGGGTCAACGCCCCCGCGGCCCGGTCTGTGACCAGGCCTCCTGGTGGATCAGCGCCTGATCAACCAGGCTGTTGCTGCTAGCTGCACGCAAACCAACGTACGAGCCACAGCCCGGCTGATCAGGAACTGACTTTAGGTGCTTGTCCAGTGCCAGCTTGAAGACTGCCAGGGGTCTGTTGGTAATCCCCCTTATGTGTGCTGGGAGGCAGTTGAACAGTCTCGGGCCCCTGACACTTATTGTATGGTCTCTTAACGTGCTAGTGACACCCCTGCTTTTCATTGGGGGGATGGTGCATCGTCTGCCAAGTCTTTTGCTTTCGTAGTGAGTGATTTTTCGTGTGCAAGTTCGGTACTAGTCCCTCTAGGATTTCCAGGTGTATATAATCATGTATCTCTCCCTCCTGCGTTCCAGGGAATACAGGTTTAGAAACCTCAAGCGCTCCCAGTAATTGAGGTGTTTTATCTCCGTTATGCGCGCCGTTGAAAGTTCTCTGAACATTTTCTAGGTCGGCAATTTCCCTGCCTTGAAAGGTGCGTTAGGTGCAGCAATTTTCCCGGCCTGATAAAAAACAAGTGCCTGAAGAGTGTCATCAGGGCTTGGCCTCCCTATTTTTGAAGGTTTCATTATCCTCCTGTCTTTTTTCTAGCAGATGCGATTGTACAATGTTTTGGTTTTTGAAGGTGGTCCTCCGACATAATCACCCCCAGGTTTTTGACTTGGGGTTTTTTCGCTCTATTTTTGTGACCGAATTTGTTTTGTCTTGTGAAGTTTTAAATTTCCTTGTTTACCATATTGGTAATTGAAATTTCTCATGTTGAACTTATATTGTTTTTGCAGCCCACTGAAGTTTTGGGTTTTGTGCCCGCCTGGACCCTTGCAGTGTCTGAATGGAACACTGTCATGAGTTGGGTGTATTGAAAAGGGAAAGACAGGGTGCTGTGGGGGCACCCTTGTTGTCGGATTTGAGGTGGGAAAAAGTGGGAGCTGTACTGTCCCTTGTGGAAAAGAGCTTTTCCCCGAGCTGCCTCGACTTTACTTGTTGACGACTATCTCTGTGTTCTGTTAGTGGAAATTATAGTCCATCGACCGACTTTTCCTGTTATTCCTTTTAGCGCGCATTTTGTGGTATTACGCCGGTACACTTGTCGAAGGCTTTTGCAAATCTGTTATATTACATTGCATTTTTTTGTCTTCTAGGCATTTAGGCCTTGTGTAGTGATCCAGTAGTTGAGGGAAAACAGGGGCGACCGTTCTAAACCCTGTTCCTGGGGGTTTTGGGAACTGATGGGTTTCTAGATGGGTGGTGATCTTCTTTTAGGACCCCTTTTAAAAATTTTTATGATATGGGATGTTAGTGCTATTGGTCTGTAGTTCTTTGCTGTTGCTTTACTGCCCCCTTTGTGAGTGGGGCTATGTCTGTTGTTTTTAGTAAAATGAGGGAGGGGCCCCGTGTCCATGCTCCCTCTCCGTTCTTGATGAAAAAGAGTTCAGATTGGCCCTGGGGCGGTGCATGGGATGTCATTTTTCGCTGTTTGAAGTCTTGGCGTCAGGATAACACGGATAGGCTTGTGTTAATAAATTTTTGTGGCTCTCTCATAAAAAATTCATTTTGATCTTGACTCTCAGTTGGTTGCGGCTTGCTAAAAATGAGTCATATTGGGACTTGAGTGCTCACTCTTTTCCCTTGCTGTCATCTGTGTAGGACCCATTTTTTTAAGTGGGGCCCCCAATATGGGCGTTGTTCTCGATTTTGATTTGGCATGGGAAGAAATCTTTGGGTTTCTTTCGATTTTTTTAAAGTTTTTTGTTTTTCCCCGCGTTTCCCTGATCCTAAAGAATTCTTTTAGTTAAGTTTTTTGCTTTTTCTCTGACCGTGTCTCCCTGCGCTTTTCAATATATTGACCTCTTTTAGCCGTCTGTTATTCTTTTCCGTCGCCTGTAAAGGGAGCGCCTTTTCTTTCATTTTAATTACTCCCCTTTTTTTTTAGAGGAATAAGCCTTGTGTACATCGGGCCACGAGTTATTGTTCTAGGCATAAGTTTGGGTCTGTTTTGCTTAGTATTCTTTCCCAGCTTTTAAACGGGTTTGGTGGTTTACTTGGTCCCCCTTTGTTTTTGTTTTTTGAAGTTGTTTTTTGGGGTGTCCCTGTGACTAGTTTATTTTGTCGGTCTGGGGCTCCTCGATACATGTTGAACCTCAATTATGTTGTGTCTGGTATATTGTTTTTTTATGGTGACATTTTTATCAGATATCATTTTTTAGTGAAGATGAGGTTTTTGTATTCTCCCCGTCTAGTAGGCTCATTATTTGCTGGTTTTAAATTGAATTTTGTGCAGAGATTTTTAAAGCTCGTGTGAGTGTGGTTTTCATCGAGCTGCCTCCCGGTTTATTACTCAAAAAAATTATTTGTATATTCCTCCATTTTTGGTACCTTTAAATTGAAATCCCCAGGGCAAGATGTTGGGTGCAGGAGCTGGAAATTTTCCAGACGGTGGTCAATTTTTAACAGCTGTTCCTGGAAATTTCTGGGATGTTGCTCCCGGGGGCTTTAACTCCCCAATGACTAGGTTTTTGGGTTTTCGACCCTTTTTGCTAAAAAATTCACTACGTCATTTGAGGATTAAACAGTTCTGTGCAAACAAGTGACTCTGCAATGTACAGGCCAACCCCCCCCTTTTCCCTGTTCACTCTGTCACATTTTGGGTTGTAACCGGGGATCCAATTTCATTGTCCAAGTGTTCTTTATGTGGGTCTCAGTGAAAGCCGCGAACATTGCCTTTCCCTTTTGCACAGTCCCGGATGAAAGGTATTTTGTTTTTGTTGCTGGCTTTAGACCCTGTATATTTCCCAAAGAAAATGTCTGGACGGTGGTTTTTTGGGTAGGGGGGGGGATTTTTTTTTTCCGGCATTGATCTGTATCTTTTGGGTTTTGGAGTGGAGGCCATCGACTGGGGTTTCCCCACTCCGGGAATGACTGTTTTGGTGAAACGATTTCTGCCTTTTTCCTGCCATTTTTTTTCCTTCCGGGCACAAAAAACCCTCCCTTTTGAGTGGCTGTGGCTACCCATTTTTTCCCCATGGCCTGGATGTTTTGTTTCTTTTTGTCCCTTTAGATGGTTGCCTGGCTTTAAGTTTTAGCACAGTCTTTCCTGTACTGAAGGGTACACATTTCGGGTGAAAAAGCTTACAGGGAAGGGGTTTTCATTTTTCCGTTGTCATATGGGGATGGCATTTTCTAGGGGGGGTCTAGTTGACTCCCCTCGTTTTTCCGATTTTCCCATGCCAGCAGATACCAAGTGCAAGTATGTGCACAGGCTGGGTTTCCGCTTGCCTTGGGTTTTTGTCTGATTCCCATTGGTGCATGTTTTTCCCCGTCTTACTTTTTCCTCCCCGCACCAACAATGGAGCTCCCCCCAGTTGTTTTTGGGAATTTTTATCCTCACTATTGCTATTGGGGTCCTCTTGTTGCTATTTTTCTGCGGTATTTTAGTTTGCAATTTGGTTTTAACTTATTTTGACTACACTTGTTTCCCCACTATGGCTCCTGTCCCCTATGAGGTCATTTATATGTATTTCCCTTCCCGCTATAAATTCCCCCTACCTGGACAAAATCTCCAGCTTCCCATTACTGTCTCCCCCGGACAGTATCTCCCCTTCACCATTTCTGTCTCCCAGGACAGCACCTCCAGCTTCACCATTACTGTCTCCCAGGACAGCACCTCCAGCTTTACTATTACTGTCTCCCAGGACATCACCTCCAGCCTTACAGTTTGTGACTACATGGCCAGTATCAAGGGCAGTACCATTCAGCCCAGACTTTTTATGTTCCCATCTGTTGTAGAAAGCTTCCAGGTTTTCTATGAAAGCAGCTTTGATGTTGTCCTCTTTTAATACCCTTGTGATTTTAGTCCACAGATTTTCCTCATTTGGGCATACCCAGAAACACTTCTCTGTTTTAATACTGCTTGTAGCTAGTTCTGGGATATCTGCACAAGGGGCGTGACACCAATTTCCACAAAAATGACAATTTATCCATGTGGAAGCCCGTTTGTTTGACTGACCACAGACTCTTGGCGGCTCTGGGCTCATCCACGGTGAGTCAACTTTTGTGTTTGTATCTAAAAATTAATTTTATAGAAAGCTTTTGTGGAATTTTGGCCGAATCAAAAAATCTGACCCATGTTTACCTGGAGTTTACCTGGAGTTTACCTGGAGAGGGTTTCGGTGGTCAACGCCCCCGCGGCTCGGTCTGAGACCAGGCCTCATGGTGGATCAGGGTCTGATCAACCAGGCTGTTATTACTGGCCGCACGCAAGCTGACGTACGAACTACAGCCCAGTTCGTCAGGTACTGACTTTAGGTGCCTGTCCAGTGCCTTCTTAAAGACAGTCAGGGGTCTATTGGTAAACCCTCTTATGTAGGCTGGGAGGCAGTTGAACAG